CACAGCCTGAGTGATGCAGTCACACACAAGGCTGTTTCCTGCCCTGGAAAAAGAAAGGGAGATGGGATATGCTGCCCTCTGCTTTAGCCAGAGCAAATGTCCAGGAGCTACAAACTGGCATCCCCATCCTCTAAGGTGGCTGTAACACAACTGCTAGTGGAGAAGCACTGAAAGAAAATGGGGAGAAACATCAACCCAAACAAACAAAAACCTGATCCAGCAGCACCAGTGTTACCCTGTGCATTTGCATTTCTCTCCAACCTTTCACTAGGTGATTACATGCTGTTGCTATTTTGGTTTTTACCAGGCAACCCATGACTGGAGAAGGTGGTGTCAGTCCTCCTGATGCTGCAAAGCAGAGCTGGCTCTGGCTGTGATAAAGAAAGACACATTGGGCTTGACGAGAGAGCATCAGCTTGAGAGTCACAAGACCATAAATTAGATTATTGTTCTTGTTGTGATTAAACCTGCTAATTCCTTGCAATTCACAGTCTTAGATGCAGATAATTCCCTACAGATACTTCCCCTCTTTTAAAAATCAGTCAACTGAGCAACTGTTCAAGGACACAGTGAGCAGAGCGGAGGTAAATTCAGCAGTCAGCACAGCAGATTCCTGAAAAAGGCACCTAAAAGGCATTTGCTTGATGTGCTGAGGAGGTGAGCGTGGATCTCCTCATCCTGGCCGGTGCCCCTTGTGCAGGGCTGGAGGGAGAGCCTGAAGTTTGGTCGTAGGCTCTCAGGACAGGAGGGGACTTGGCCCCTGGCTTGGCCTCTGCCAATCAGCCCTGTGTGCTGGCTCAGCAGTGAAGCTTTGGGTGACCAGGGGTGTTTTGCTGTGGCTTCCCCGTGTGCAGCCCCCTGCCACTCGATGGCACTGGAGGCTGGGCCTCCTCCCACCTCTCTGAGCCGGGCTGGAGTCAAACAGGCTGTCACCAACAGAGGAAAGGCATTGTCTGTGCCGTGCAGGGTTTGTTAGCACTGTGCAGTGTGCAGCGAGCTGTGGGCTCAGCTGGAGCTGGGAAGAGCACATACAGTATGTGGGTGTGTGTTGGCAGAGGCTGTGCTGTGCACATGGGAGAGAGAAGTTATCATCCCAGAGTCACAGAATACCCTAGGCTGGAAGGACCCACAGTTGTTGTCCTGTCCCTGCACAGGACACCCCAACAATTCACCATGTGCCTGAGAGCATTGGCCAAACACTCCTGGAGCTTTGTCAGGCTTGGGGCTGTGACCACTGCCCTGGGGAGCTGTTCAGTGCCCAAACACCTCTGGGGGAAGAGCCTTTCCCTGATATCTAGCCTAACCCTCCCCTGACACAGCTCCAGCCGTTTCCTCGGGTCCTGTCACTGGTCACACAGAGCAGAAATTGGTGCTGTCCCTGTGCTGCCTCTCATGAAGAAGCTGCAGACTGCTATGAGTAGTATCAGGTATTTCCGAAATTCTGAATGGTCTGATGATGTCTGAGAGGCTGCACCAAGCTCCCTGGCTAGACGGGGTGGGCAGTGTCCGTAGAGCTTCCCTAACTCCCTGGCTGTGTAGGACAGGGAGATGTTTCAGTGCACACCAGACACCAGATGACATCACCCTCCTGCTAACTGTAGTACAGCACAAATGTCTCTCACTGCTCAGTTTCCTAGCAAGAATTTCCTGTAGGCTTGATATGATTTTGCTGTCTTAATAGCTTTCTCCTTTCCCTCCTCAGGGTGACCCAGCTCAGCGAGGGCACTTGGAGGAAGCTGCTTTCCAACTGCAGCAGATTTTTCGGATTGATATTTCCATTGCCTTGAACATTCTGGGTAATGTGGACTTGGGTTTGCTTTGCCCTTAAACCACAGGTTTCTCATCTTGGAGGACCTCCACATTGTTGTAGGTCTTGTGTGAAGGCAGAGATGGCACATCCCCAAGCTGAAGCCTCCTTTCAGCAATTTTAACTGTACTTTGAGAGATTTACTGCCCTTTGTCCCATCCTGCCACCTGATTTATATCAGCATATTTCACCCTAGGCTTGGGTGAAGCCTGCACTGTTGGCCTGACATGTGTAGTTGGAAATTAAGCCATCTCTGTCTTTTTTTGCCACACAAGATGTCATATCCTTGTATCCTTTTTTATTGTCTGAGCTCACAGCCTTCCTGGCAAGCTGAAAAAGCAATTGCAGAATTGCAGCTCTAAGAAAAGCTGAAGGAAGATGCAATGAGCTAAGAACAGTCCCTGCCCTATATATACCACTAGTTGCGGCACTGGAAATGAGCTGCTTCTGTGCCAGCCATACGCTCTGTTAGCCTGTGATCTCTCTTTGCAATCAACCTAGGAAAATCCCTAAAATGCAGTGTTGCCGTTTTCCTTGTGGAAACTGTGCAGTGAGGCTTGGTGAGCCAGCTGGAAGTGGCCCAGAGCACTTGGCCTGAGCCAAGCAAGGCTCAGTGGCTGCGGGCAAGGTTGCTGCGTTTGAGGTTGAGTTCTGCCCCTCTGCTTTTCCCCTGTTGTGATGTTGTATTCTCCTCAGGGATTGAAAGCATGAGAGCAGGACACTGCAGGGTAGGCTATACCTGCTTCAAACTGGCAGCAGATCGAGGCTACAGCAAGGCCCAGTTCAACGTGGGACTGTGCTATGAGCATGGCAGAGGCACGGAAAAGGACTTGGAGAAGGTATTCATGGCTTGTAGGGCTGTTCATGTGCCACTGCAGGGCTGGGTATGTGCCACACAGACCAGGAGAGGGGTCTTTGTTGGGTTCTCAGGAGCTTTTGTCCTGCATGGGTGTGAAAGTCATGGAGTCTCCTGAGCTGGAAAGGACCCACAAGGATCATCTACTCCAAACCCTGCCCTGCACAGGACACCCCAACAATCCACCATGTGCCTGAGAGTGTTATCCAGACACTTCTTGAGCTCTGTCAGGCTTGGGGCCATGATCCCTGCCCTGGGGAGCTGTTCCAGTGCTCAGGTTCTGAAGACTCATTAGAAACTGCTGGAACCAATATAAATTGTAGGTTTGCAGAACTGACTTCAGTGTCATTGATCCCCTCGGAGATGTGCTCTGAAATCCCCTTTCTCATAGCTTCTGAAGGCTTCTCTAGGTGCACAGGCTGTGCCACCAGCCCCCAGGAGGGTACCAAGGAGAAACCTGTCATGTTCCTGTATTTAAGACACCACTGCACATCCAAGGGCTTCTTAAATCTCCAGTTCGAGTCCTGTAACTACAGCCTGCCACCTAGTGCGAGCTGGGGGCAGCCAGCAGCTGCTGGAGCTGGGAAGAGCTGCAGAAGCAGCTTGTTTTGAGGAATTGTTGCCCCAGGGCCACCCTCTTCAGACCAGGCAGGGTGGTTTGGGGGCTCTGGGGCAGTCACAGTCCACTGTCTCGCTTAGCCAAGCCGATGTTCTTTAACAGGGAGTTGTGGAAGGGCTTCTGGAGGGCACATGTGCAGCTGATGATGGATCTAGACAAAGAGGTTAAGCTTGGCCTGGCCAGAGGAGAGTCGTGTCATGTTCCCTGGAACATGATTCCCTGGTACAGGGGTTGTACTACCTGATTCACACAATTGAGTTTCTCTTTTTCCAGGCAGCCTTTTATTACCAGCACGCAGCCAGCAGCTGCCACCCCATGGCACAGTACCGCTACGGGAGGTACCTCCTGCAGCACAGCTCTGGGAAGGACTGGGACAGCCATCAGAGGGCTCTGACACTCCTGGAGCAAGCAGCAATGGCTGGGATCACAGAGGTCAGTGTCCTCAGTGTGGGAGGTCAGAGAGGGCCAACAGAGAACCCTGACTGAAGGATTTGCACTATGAGACATCCTAGAAATCAGAATCTGGGGCACCTCAAGCAAAGCTCTTCCAACATATTTGTCGCTGCCCATGGCAGGGGGCTAGAACTTGATGATCTTTAAGGTCCTTCTAACCCAAACCAGTCTGTGATTCCCTGATTGTTTATCTATATTCCTGACAGTGTATGGGGACAGCCCTGCCTGCACATGAGAGGCAGCTCAGTACCCACTGGGTCAGCATGTTGGTTGGCTGTTCTTCATGTGTCTCAGACCGTTGGCTTAGGAGAACTGACCCACAGTCGAAAATGTAGCTCAGTGTTTCATCTCTTCTCAATTCCAAGCATACAGGTGGCTCTGCTGGAGGAAATTCCATGAGCTTCTCAAATAACAGATCCTCGTTTTGTATCTGTGCTTTCACAAGATGACTCATCCCCATGGATGTGTGTACCCTACCCTCCTTTCCCACTCCTCAGGAGCTGCATTTTGGCATGTGCCATCTTGTGTTCTGAATGCCAGTGTACTGGCAGTGCCTGTGCCTCCTGTAGCACTGTTCCAGGGAGTGCATCTGCTGTGTCTTAGGGACAGCTCACGAGTAGGAGCCATTCCCTGGCTCTGCCTCCCACAGTGCAGTCTGAAAGGCTGTTCTGGGTGTGACAGTGTTGGTGCAGTGATGGTAACTGCACGTGTGGTGGGGTTCTGTAGAGGTAATTTTTGTGTTCACCATGTCAGGCTGATTTCTTCTAGGATGTTCCTCCTTCTCCCAACAGCCTCTGCCCCAGCAGGGTCTTTAGCACACTCCTTTTCCCACAGTAGCCCCATCACTTGAGCAACTTACAAATGAAAAGAGAGCTAGGGTGATTAAGGGTGAAAATCCTAGCTGATGTGTGCTGTGTGGTTTTGTTGCAGGCACAGGCTTACCTTGGAGTGTTCTACATGAGGGGGCTGCAACCCCAGGAAAAGAGAGGTCTGAGGTACCTGCTGCTGGCAGCAAACAGTGGTGTAAGTAATCCCTCTGCAAGTTCTGATTGTCCTCACTGGGGCCATTGCAGATTACAGAATTCAGGGAAATGAGAATGAGTGTCAGGATTTTCCTGCATAGTGTGAAAGGAGAGAGTGAAGCCTTGGTGCATCTTGGAGAGGAAACAGGCCCTGGGCATAGATCCTACAAAACATGAAGGCAGAGACAGCACTGCAGGGTTGGAAGAGTTCTAACAGCACCTTGTACTCATCTAGCAGAATTGTACAGATTGCCATTATGGAGCTTCTACACCCTCTGCAGTCAAAGTCTTTCACTACTTCATTGAGAGTTTAATGTGTCTGTCTCAAATCTCTTCTTCAAAATCAGCCCATTATTTCTTGCCTTTTATAGAGAGGATGAAAAGACTATTTCTGGATGTTTTTTTCTTCAGGAACCTTTAACATACTTAAATACTTGAATTTCTTTTCAGCCTTGCCCTGCTCTTGCAGTGTCTCTTCACAGGTCATGTTGTGTAGTTCCCCAACAATTTGTTGCTGGCACTTTCTCCAAGTCACCCAGACTTCTCTGTTTTGAAAGGCAGTGCCACAGTGTGGGCACAGAACTGCTCCTCAACCCTCAGCAGCACTCCGAGCAGCAGCAGTGTGAATCCCATGTCTTGCAGCCAGGTTTCTGCCTCCCACAGTCCTGTTTCCTTCCAGCACTGTGCATTGTGCCCTTGTTTTCAGCTCCATTGTAATAGTTTTTTGCTGAAGAACTTGTTCATTTTAACTTCAGCTCCCCCAGCTTTTGTGCATGGAAAATAATGAGTAGCTATTCCCTGCTCTGCTGGCTAATAGTGCTGATTGTGGTGCCCTTTAGTGTGTCCTCTCTGAGTCATTTCTTTAGCAGGCTGCAGAGTGCTGGTTTAGTTTGCCTTGCTGTGTAGTTAAGCTGTTCTACTTTGCTTGTCTGTCTTCTCTCTCTGTTTTTAACTCTCCTTTGACTATTTTAAGGTGTTTGGACTAAACCTGGGCTCAGGATGGAGGTTTGCCAGGGATCTCACGTAATGAGATCCTCTGCTTTGGTCTGTATTCCCTTCCAATAACTCCTGATATTAGTTGCCCTTTTGCCTGACACTGAGCAGTGATTAGATGGTTTCAGGGAACTATCCCAATGAGCTATCACAGATTCCCTTCTCTAAGCACTACTTTGCATTTGGCAATACTGTTTCTTCCATGAATGTGTTGCTCTCTCTTAGTCTTGTGAGATCTTCTCTAATTAATTCTGTATAGCAAGTTTGTCCACTCTGACTGACATCACATCACTTGCAAACTTTGCCACTTGCATTTTCACCTACTTTCCAGAATGCAGACACTGTCAGGTCCCTGGTGAGACTAGGCCTGACCAGCCACAGCAGGTCAGACATCATACATAGCATTTACTTCTACATCTGCTGAACATCTCCTTTAAGCTGCATCATTGGCTCCTCTTTTCCAGCCTGCTGGCAGGTGTGTATGCTACACAATGCAACACTGAATTATCTCGTTAAATAGATGATTGTCATTTGCTGAATGCCTGGAAGCCATTAACAACACCAAAGCTATCAGGTAATTGCAGGTCCCAGGGGTTCTCCCCAGCAGATCAGTGTTTGACATGCTTTGGTCACTGCCACAGTTCTCACACCTCAAGCATCATTCCCCATCTCTGTTCCCAAGGGATGCTGACTGTGGATGTACCAGAGCCTCAGTTTTGGGACCTGGCTTGTGCACAGGCTCCCTGAGAGGTACCTGGGAGAAGGACTCCATGGGCGTGTTCCTTTCCCATTACCCTGCAGTATGAACTTGTGTTTAGCTGGTTAAAAGAATCCTGGCTATGGGTGAGGCAAGGACAGCGCCATTCAGCACAACTCCAAAAAAAAAAGAAAACAGTCACAAAAAGCCATAGGTTCAGTGTTTCTCTGGCTGTTCTGTGTGCTGGAGCTGAGTAGGGAGCTCTGACAAGTGTCCTTCCAAGCACGACTGCAGAGCTGTGTTCTACTTTGGTTCCCACTTTTTAGCTTCCCCTATTTTATAGGTGCAGCCACAGAATATAAAACCCATGCTGAAGAGTCTTGTTGGAGCCTGACCTCCAGATTTCAGTGTGTTTGACAGACATTTATGCCATGCTAATTTGGGGAGCTCCTCTCCTTGCAGTCATGTCTTTGAGGTGCTCATGCTATGAGAGATGCCTTGTGCAGTGCTTCTGACTGAACCCTGGCTCCTGTCACTGCTCAAGTGCCAATCCTTCAACATGTTTATCTCAGCTCCAAAGGAGTTTATTGCTGTCAGAAACTGAGACTTGCAACATTTTGCAAAGCACCCACTCACTGAGTTCTTCATTTGCCTCTCCCAGCTACAGCCCAGACAGCAACACTTGCAATATGTTCTTTTCTCGTGGTTTTATTAAACTTGCTACTTACTTCTTCTTTGCTTATTTTTTTCTTCTTTTCTGTTTTTTTTTTTGTTTGCAAAGCCTTGATTAGATCGTGTTTCTGGCAGTCACACTCCTCAGGTGTGTGACCACTAGCCCATGCAGCCTTTTTCATGTCTTCAGGATTGCTTTCCTGCTATCAGAGCCACTTTTCCTGCTATTAGATCTCAAAAATAAAGTGCACAGCCAACACGTAAACATGCCACAGGTTTGAATTTGGCTTCACTGACCCATCTGCAGTGACATCCTTTAATTTCTAGTTCATTCTCAGCAGTTCCATATGCCTGAGCAGTTCAGGTGCTTTTCCTCCAGTGCTTATTTGACTTCATTTCTGCTGCTTGAAATTTCTTCTGGACTGTAATTAGATGGAGATTGCTGCACTGTTGCATTCAAGGCCTGATGCTGCCAAGGGGAATCTTCCAACCCTTGGCAGCAAGTACCTCTGTGGCATTTCTGTTTCTACAGGACTTTGGCATGAACCGCAGAAGGGCAGTCCCAAGGGTGTGCTCAGGGTTTGGGTGGGATCAGGATGTGAGAGCAGTCAGGGCTGCTCACCTCTGACCCCTGAGATAGTTGGGGTGCTCTGCAGAGCCTGCTGCTCCTTTGTTCCCCTGATACAGACCTGGGTGTTGAAGGAAATCAGTGAAATTAATTGGAAAGGGATGGGAAGGAGCAGAGTCAGAGATCGCTGGGAAGGAATTCTGCTTGGAGAAGGGACTAAATTCCTGAAAATACAGTGTGAGGAATAGAGGACAAAACTTGAAGAAGGTGTTAAAGACTCTCAGGTCTTTGTCACTTGTCCATGTGTGGGGCTGATTGCTCGTCTGTCTCCTGTGCCAGGATGCCCAGAGCAGGTACCACGTGGGGGTGTGCTATGAGCAGGGCCTTGGGGTGCAGAGGAACCTGCCAGAAGCACTGAGGCACTACAGGCAGTCAGCAGCTGCTGGGAACAGGCACGCACAGGAGAGGCTGCGGCTCTGGGAGCAGGAGCTGGAAGGTACTGGGGCAGGAGGGAGGATGGGGTGGAGTGACCCCCTAAAAGTGGGGCCTGTGTTGCCAGAGGAATGGTCATACAGGGCTGTGGCACTAAGGAGTTCTTTTGACTGAAGGGAAGGGACCACTTTTCAGTTCTTTCCACTTCTTATCAGCTATTTCCAGTCAGTTGAATTGTAGAACCATCAAGGTTGGAAGAGATGTCTAAGATCATCAAGTCCAACCATTAACCTGTCACTGCTGTAAACTCTAAACCATATCCTCCAGTGCCAGATCCACATACCTTAAACAGTTTCAAGGATGGTGACTCCACCACCTCACTGGGCAATATTTCAGTGTCTGAACACCCTAAGAGTGACAAAATGTTTCCTAACGTCTCCTCTGCCTCTGCCCTGTCTCAGCTCTAGGCCATTCCCTCTAGTCCTCTCCCTGCAGCCATGGCAGGAGAGACATCCCCCACCTCTCTCCAAGCCCTGTCAGGGAGTTGTGGAGAGCCATGAGGTCACCCTTGAACCTCTTTTCCAGGCTAACCAACCCCAACTCCCTCAGCCCTTCCTCATGTGCTCGAGCCCTTTCCTGCCCTCACTGCCCTTGGCTGGACTCGCTCCACTGCCTCAATGGCCTTTGGGCAGTGAGTGCCCAAAGCTGAGCACAGCACTGAGCTGGGACCTCCCCAGTGCCCAGTGCAGGGGGATGAGCACTGCCCTAGTCCTGCTGCCACGCTATTAAGTGGAGAAGCTGTTCCCATAGTCCGATGTGTCACAGAACCATTTCTGTTGGAAAGCCCTCTAAGATCATCAAGTCTAAGCTTCAACAGTATCATTAATATGTTGTTTTTCTGTACTTTCAGATGTGCAAACCAAACAGCCATTCCCATTGGGAATCAGAGCCTCTTCCTCTAGCCCCAGTTTCTGGTCTCTTGAGCCTGTGTCTGCAGGTCTCCACGGCACCCAGGTGTCTGCCCTGCCCCTGCCCCACTCCTGGAGCGCAGACAGACTGCACGTGGTGATGCTGAGCGGCGCAGGATGGAGCCGTACTGTGGGGCACAGGGCAGTGCCGCTGGGACAGCAGTACTGGGAGCCTCACCACTGCTGGTGTTAGAGCAGGCAGTAAGTGGAACCAGCAGGCAGAGGGGAAGGCAGCCCTTTGGCTGTGTGGGGCTGGAAACTAGCAGGTCGTGGAGAAAGAAGGCTATGTGTTGGTGGAACAGGAGCCATTTATAAATACCAGGGTGTTGAGAACCACCAGGATATCTGCCCCTCTGCCTTCCAATACAGGGCTGTGGTTTATGTACCTATGTTTCTGTATAGAGCTATGTATAGACTCCCCCCATGCCACAGAGCAGCTGTGGCTG